CCTGCTGAATAACTTTTTGAAGACCTTCCTTTGACATCTGTCGTTGGTAAACCTAAGCAAGGTATCACACAAAGGAGAAAAAGAAATTGGTTCATCCTAATCCCATCATATATTCTTGCATAAAATAAAAAACATTGTTGACTTATTTTCCCTATAAACCTTTTCTTCAATGCTCCCAGTGCTCAAAAACCGATATATGTATACCCTCTTTCTCTGGCCATCCCTCCAAACTCTAGCTGCAGCCTTTTGGCATAAAACAATATTAGAATAGTCAGAAATCTACAATAATAATAACAAAAAAAATAACAAGCATAAACATTCACCTTACCATAACAATTTGGGATTATCAGAGATTACCTCAGGCAAAAATGTATAAGTACCTGCTTATCATTGGCAGGGTTCCAATCAGGATCAAAAAGTACCAAGCGATTTCCTCCAATCAAATTAAGTCCACAACCACCAGCCTTGCTACTCAAAAGAAATACAAATTCATTCTGCAATATTGTATTTCTACTTTTCAGTGAAAAAAATCATGGAAAATAAATACAGCTGAACAAGAGAATCGTTCTTAAAAAAACCTTTGTTGGATCATTGAAACGATTGACCAGTTTTTGTCTTTTTCCAATAGATGTAGTGCCATCAAGCCTCACATATGGATACTTCCTTTCGCAGCATAATTGGGCAAAAAGATCCAGTGTCTTCAAAGTGTAAAAGTAAACAGAACAAAGTAAATGTTAAAAAGAACAACAATGGCAAGTACAACTATGTAATCATAAAAATCATTAGGCTTATCCAAACTATTTTGAGTTGGCATTAAGAATCCTTTGATTCCATTTCATTTTGTTAGAAGCTCAAACTGGTTTTAACTCTTGATTTTATCTTTCTGAAGAACTTGATGCAATGTTATCCTTTGCCTGCATTTTCCTTCCTATTCTTTCTCTCTTATTCTCCACCCTTCTCCTCACTTTCTTCCTTCTACCGTATAAAACATATTCACCTAATCTATCAATTATAATATTATCTTCAACATATACTACCGAACTTTCTAAATGGCATAGCTACTAAATTTTTTCCCGCACGGCTTTATAACAAATTCTTATTTGAACCGCCCAGCAGTAACCATAAACTTGTTTTGTACCGCCCAGCAGTAACATCCATATTACACAACTAGTAATATTTCCATTTTATAAAACAATCATTTTCATGATATTCAAAATATTTAAGTATTATCCTGGGTTCCATCTCAATTTTTAACCATCTACTTTAATTTATTAAAATTAAAAGAAAATATGACACAATCGAGAAAAAGAAATCATGTAGCTGACCCACTTAGTAGGATAAAGGATTGTTGTTGTTGTACTTTGATCACTTAACTGTTTTAGTTGGGACAATAACGAAAGAAGGAAAGCAAGCGTAAGGCATATACAAAGTGAAGGATGCCAGCCAAAGGCAGAAATGCCTCTAAGTGCCATTACAAGCATAGATGATAAATGGGTTGAGCCTAACATTGTTCAGATCCAACACAGGAAGGTAACCCATATATATATATATATATATATATATATATATGAACTAGTAAGGGAAATAGTGAAAACACAAAAAAATAAACTTTTATTAATATTAAAATAGGGTTACAGCATAACTCAAATAGAAAATAACACCACAAACACAAAGCGACAAAAGAAAACACTCGTACATGTTTTCCTATGAGTGGTGGAGATCAGCGAGGAGGGTTGAGATGGCTAGCATGGGTGGTGACAGCAATAGAGTAATCGTGGCAGTGAGGGGAAGCTGCGTAACTGTACGGACAACAAGTGGGAAGAATTGTAGGTGGTCGGTAATGGTACTGGGGTGGTTGGGAAGAGCTTGAATGGAGTTAGGCGGCTGGTCAGCAGTAATAATCTGTAGAAAAGGGGGCGAGAGGGAGAGTTTGGCGGTTGAGGAATGGAGAGGAGAAGGTTTGGGAAAGGTAGAAGAGAAGAATACAATCACTGCCTTGGTGAAAGATACAGCCGGAGCACCATCATCTCCTCGGATACAGCCCGCAAAGAGAAAATAGACTCCACACAGAAGATCTGAAGACAGCACAACCAGAATTGAACTCCTACACACACACCTAAAACAGCAATTTATAGGCTCTCCCCCCCCCCCCCCCCCCCTCAGAGGAAGGAGGCGGCTACACAAAAGAGATAGGCAGGAAGCCAAAAAGAATCAAGAAATCACTTCCCAATCAAGAATTCATGATCCTTGCATTGTTCCCGTCTTCACATGAAAGGATCGCTGGAATTCGCGATCCTTCCTTCCTGTCACGGGTGCTCTCGCTTTCTCAAAATTGCGGGTTCACACTCACATCGCAAAGTATCATAGGGCTTCGGCCCGAATTACCCCGCTCTGGGGCGCTTTTCTGGGCCTGAATTTGGGCGTCTCCCCAAGCATCCGCATCTGATTCCAATCAAGCCGATCTGTACGAATTCATAAAATAAAGGTGATCTGTACGGGTTCATAAATTAAAAGATTAACTTAATCCTTTAAATTAGTTTTACCAAATAATCAGTTTATAATTGTTTATGCTGTAATGAAAATATTTAGCCATCAAGATAACATAAAAATATTATATTAGACGTATTACAAAAAATGAAAATATTGGCAACTTGAGATCAACGGATACAACTAGCATTTATGTGCAAGCTGAAGGCATTAACATTAAACATAAATGTGATATGAGCTATGAAAAGAAATTTAAAAATCTAGGAAAATCAAATGAACATTGATTTCCATAGTTAGGTTCGTTCTGTAATATGTCAGTAATAATAAAGACAAGACAAACATAAATATCAGCATTATTTGCGACTGATACATAAATGTAATTTACAGCACACCTGAGTGTAATTTGACACGAGAACTATTCTGTCATCAGTTTTCTGACGAAGATGGGCCAACAGCCGAGCTAAGACATGCATTTTTCCTGATAACTCTACCCATATTCCTCCACCACCAGTCCACGATCCAGACCTAACACAAAATAGGTAAATTAAAAAACAAACTAGGATCTTGAAAAAAAAAAGTGGTAAATATTAAATAGTAATCACCTTCCAGAAAATAATTCAGAAGGGAAAAACTGCATGCAATTTTCAAATCCTGATGTTGCAGACCCTCCACTTCTGATTGAATCATAAATGAGCTGAAACAAATCATCATCCATTGAAACAGATGTTATATTGCTTTCTGAAAAGATAGCCACTCCGGAATTAAGAAGAAAATGACAATACATAACCGCAATTACAAAACATTAACAAAAAAATAGGCTAAACAAGAACCTAATACTTGCTCTTAGTCATATGCGAACTCATAAAGCATAATCGCCACCAAGAAAACATTAGAGCAACAGGCTAAACACACATCAGTAACTAGAAGACTTTCACAGTTTGACCCTGAAACAATCCATATTCATAGTGGAACATCAAGTGCGGAGTAGGTTTACATATATGATAAACATAAACAAGCGTCCACCTGAAATCCTTGAGAAAATTACCATATAACTTTAAGAGACATAGATAAGGTATAAAACTAATAACAAAAAAAGAATTCATTAGAAATTCCTGCCAAATTAGAGCCAAAAAAGAAAAAAAGACAATTATCTGGAAGAGAACAGCGCATGAGAAAAAAGATTTTATGGAGATAGAGATTTGACATCTATGATAATCCCTTCAATGAAAGCTTTCGAGTTATTAAGTTGTGACAGTCAAGATTTTCTTGCTCGTGTGAGATAGATGAAGGAGGTGGATCAGTTGACTGATATTTATATCGTGAAAGAATATTCAGAAGTTTTTTTTCTAATGATTTTACATGGATTATCACCAATGAAGGAAAAAGACTTCCCTGTTGAATAATTGCCAAGTTCTAAGCCAGTATCTCAGACACCGAATCATATGACAGTTAAAGAATTATAGAAATTGAAAATTCAGTTACAAGAACTGTTGCATAAAGGATTTATAAGGTGTATATCACCTTGGAGGGTTCCAATATTATTTGTAAAGAAGATGGGAGTTTCAACATTGCATATTGACTACAAAAAATTAAATAAACTTGTTGTTATGAATAAATACATGAACTTAATTTATTAGAATTAAATGATTAGAATTAAATGAAAATATGACACTAAATAGGATGTTATGGAGAAAAAGGATTCATGCAGCCGACCCCATTTAGTGAGATAAAGGTTTTGTTGTTGTTGTTGTTAAGAATAAATACCCATTCTTTGATCGGTTGGAATGTCATCCTTACTTTCAAAGAATAAATTACAATCAGGCTGTTATAAGTTCATAATTAAAAAAGAAAACATAGCAAAGACAATATTTAGAATTAAACATGGGCATTATGAATTTGTAGTTAGGATATTTGGATTGATAAATATTTCAAGTGTAATAGTTTTTATGGACCCGATGAACATGATCTTTTGACCATTTTTTGATATATTTGTGATAGTATGTATAGACGATATTATCAAATATTCAAATGATAAAACAGCCATACATATCATCCACATGTTGTTCTCCAAACCCCAAAGACGTAGGATTAATCAAATCGACCAAATGTTCTTCCAAAATGGGATTTAAAATTTTCCAAACCTCGAACGAAAATGAACGCGGGAAAAACACCGTCAATATTTCCAAACTCGTATTAAATTCGAAACTCCTCCAACTCAATCTATAATTTCATATATTAAGTAAGCATAGAAATCTTCCCATCAAACCATATAAACACTCACGGCCGGGGTCAACAGAGAAGGGGAAACAACCCACAGGGCTCTTGGCCAAGGCAAGGAACAGGGACAAAAAAAAGGTTCACAGCGAAAGCAAAGGACAACTGCCAAGACTCACAGCCAAAGGCAACCCAAAGCACAAGCAAAGCCCACGGCCACAGCAACCCAAGGCACAAAGAGGCTCACGGCCTAAGGCAGCAAAGAGCAGCTGCTAAAGTCCACATCCAAAGCACAAGGGGGCTCACGGCCAAAGCCAACAAAAGGACCACCAAAGGCAACTATGCCTCCCTGACTAAATGAAGAGATAACTGAAATAAATATGA